ACACCTTTCTTGCAACTACCAGTGACAGGCACGGCCTCTCCAAACACCTCAAGCAAGTGGCACAACTATTGCATTCCCGCTGCAGCCCTTCTCTAGATACACCGTCTACACCTGCAGCCTAGTCATTTATTCAATGTTCTCCTAACTGGCTTTGGAGGCAGCCCGGGAGGGACAGTGGATGCCAAATTTCCTGCTAATCCGAGTTCCTGTTTAAGTTTGTTTTAGTTCCTGTGGCAGTTCCTGTCAATTTTAATATTCACGCCATTTTATATTCCTGCAACCAATTTGGGTTACCGTGATACAAAAAAGATGTTGAGAGTTTGGAAAAAGGGCAGAGAAGAGCAACTAAGGTGTTTTACAGGCCTGGAGACGAAAACATACAAAGAACAGCTGCAGGACTTGGGTTTGGCCAATCTAAAGAAAAGAAGAAATGGGGGTGACATGATAGCAGTGGTCCAGTATCTGAGGGGCTGCCCCAAAGGAGAAGAGGGGGTCAAACTATTCTCCAAAGCACCAGAGGGAAGGACGAGAATAAATGGTTGGAAACTGATCAAAGAGAGAAGCAACCTGGAATTAAGGAGAAACTTCCTGACAGTGAGGACAATTAACCAGTGGAACAGCTTGCCTCCAGAAATTGTGGGTGCTCCATCACTGTAGGTTTTTAAGAAAAGACTGGACAGTCACATGTCTGAGGTGGTATAGGTTCTCCTGCTTGAGCAGGGGGCTGGACTAGAAGACCTCCAAGGTCCCTTCCAGCTCTATTCTATTCTATTCTATTCTATTCTATTCTATTCTATTCTATTCTATTCTATTCTATTCTATTCTACAATCTGTTATTTCTATTCTATTCTATTCTATTCTTATTTCTAATTCTATTCTATTCTATTCTATTCTACAATCTGTTATTTTTATTCTATTCTATTCTATTCTATTCTATTCTATTCTATTCTTATTTCTAATACTATTCTATTCCTATTCCTATTCTATTCTATTCTATTCTATTCTATTCTATTCTATTCTATTCTATTCTATTCTACAATCTGTTATTTCTATTCTATTCTATTCTATTCTATTCTACAATCTGTTATTTTTATTCTATTCTATTCTATTCTATTCTATTCTATTCTTATTTCTAATACTATTCTATTCCTATTCCTATTCTATTCCTATTCTATTCTATTCTATTCTATTCTATTCTATTCTATTCTATTCTACAATCTGTTATTTTTATTCTATTCTATTCTATTCTATTCTATTCTATTCTATTCTATTCTTATTTCTAATACTATTCTATTCCTATTCCTATTCCTATTCTATTCCTATTCTATTCTATTCTATTCTATTCTATTCTATTCTACAATCTGTTATTTCTATTCTATTCTATTCTATTCTTATTTCTAATACTATTCTATTCTATTCTATTCTATTCTACTCTACTCTACTCTCTACTCTATTCTACTGTATTCCTGATTTTACTGTGCTGTAGGCCACCCGGGGTCACTTTGGATAGGGATATGGGTGGTGTATAAACTCAATCCATCCATTCATCCATCCATCCATCTACCCACCCCTCCATCCATCCATCCAATGGGCAGCCCACTTCCAGTTAAGTCAACCTCATCAAACAAGAATCAACATCATTTCTGAAGCTGTATTGATTACTAGTAGTCACTGGACCAATTCTGAAGTGCTAAGTCACCAAAGCCTTTTAGAGCACAGCACTGGGATGCGCAAGGCAACAACTTGACAACATTGGTTCTGTCCGGGCATTCGGGCTATTTAGAGAGCATCCCCTGCAGATTTGGGAAGGGAAGGTGCCACGTAACAAACCCTCTGCAGGGTGGCCCATTTTTAATGGAGAGATCTTCCCCAGGGAGATACTTTACAAAGCAAAGTATTTACTTTACAATCCTACTTTACAAGGATTTTTACAACAGGCCAAAACAGAAGTAGGCATTTGGCTGTGAGGTTAAGCAAACAGTCCTTTTGTATCATTTTTTTTAAAAAATGTTGTTTTTTACTATTAGCATGCTTTGGAGGCATATTGTGGTTGTATCCTGCACAGAGTCCACTAGTGTTTGGTCAAACTATAATCATAGCAGAAAGAAAGAATTATTTTCATTATTTCCCCCCCCCAGATACTAACATTCAGAGGTTTTTATGGGAATAAATATAATATTGTTGAAGTCTGGAAGCAAAATGAAATATTCAAGGGTGTCCAACCCTGGCCACTTTAAGACTTGTGGACTTCAACTCCCAGAATTCAAGGCTACCTTGGGAATTCTGGGAGTTGAAGTCCACAAGTCTTAAAGTGGCCAGAGTTGGATACGCTTGAATATTTCATTTTGCTTCCAGACTTCAAGATATTATATTTATTCCCGTAAAAATCTCTCTCTATTTTTTCGTCATACTTTCAGATGTGGATTTTTACTCTCTTATTTGTAAATTCCACTGCTTCTCCGAAAACTTCATGTTTAGTTCTTTTTACCTACTTCCAAATTATTATTATTTTGTTTCCACCAGAACTGTTCCGCATTTTCTTGCCATCTTTTAATCTCAAACCATTCCTTATTTTGTTTTGACTACACTGATCTTTCTCTCTCTATTCACCTGATGTCTCGTTTTCGGCTCCTGTCGTTCCTCTGGAATGCATTCCTTCCTCACCTACACTTTTCCTCCTTTCATCCATTCCACCAAGAATCCTTTTTAAACTCTTCTCATTAGTGAACTTCACATATTGCTGTGTCGCTGGCAACGTCAATTCTTTCCACTCTCCATCAAACTGCTTGCGCAGTCTCTTTCCTGAGGCTTAGTTCCTCTTAATCCTGACGGGGGATTAATATTTCTTCTGCCTGCGAGACTCACAACGTTTCTCCTTTGGAACTCAACTTTCTTGGAGGTTTTTTTTTCCCTTTGAAAACCTTTTGCTTCTCATCCAAGAAGCTTCTTCAGTTCTAGCTTCTTGGATGAAAAAGCGAAACCTTTTCAAGGAAAAAAAGTTAATGCAAAGGGATTCTATCCCTCTGCATCAACAGAGGGATCGAATCGGGATCAGGTGAAGTGTTAACACCACTTTACAAGGCCTTGGTAAGGCCACACTTGGAATATGGCATCCAGTTTTGGTCACCACGATGTAAAAAAGATGTTGAGACTCTGGAAAGAGTGCAGAGAAGAGCAACAAAGATGATCAGGGGACTGGAGGCTGAAACATACAAGGAACGGTTGCTGGAATTGGATATGTCTAGTTTAATGGAAGGAAGGACGAGGGGGGACGTGATAGCCGTGGTCCAGTATCTGAGGGGCTGCCCCAAAGAAGAGGGAGTCAAGCTATTCTCCAAAGCACCTGAAGGCAGGACAAGAAGCAATGGATGGAAACTGATCAGGGAGAGAAGCAACTTGGAATTAAGGAGGAATTTCCTGACTGTGAGAACAATTAACCAGTGGAACTGTTTGCCTCCAGAAGTTGTGGGTGCTCCATCATTGCAGGTCCTTAAGAAGAGACTGGACAGCCATTTGTGTCTGAAATGGTATAGGGTCTCCTGCCTGAGCAGGGGGTTGGACTAGATGACCTCCAAGGTCCCTTCCATCATCACTACTACTACTACTACCACTACTACTACTACTATTATGGATCATCGCACAGTCAGCCAGATGTTCAGACTGGATTGGGCATTTTGTCTACCTATCGAGTCCTTACCCAGGACCTGGGATAGGCAGATGTGGATGTCCGATGGTATTACAGGTATCGTCGCAGGATGGAAGCAGTTCCTAGTAAGGCTACCTTTTGCCATTGACTAATGGCTTATTATTATTATTATTATTATTATTATTATTATTATTATTATTATTACTACTACTACTACTACTATTATTATTATTACCAAGCAAGTCCAATTGACTTTTAGAAAAGCGCCTTTGTGACAACCATGATCTGGACGATGGAGAATCTCTATAGACATTCAACCTGGAATATTCATTTCTTGCGAATCCCACCCATAAATTCGGCACACCAAGCAACTCTTAGCAGAAAGGACCACAACTTCAGAAAACACCACAAAGCCAATATACTGTATATCTTTTCCCCTCTCTGTTCATCTTCTTTTTTGGGGGGGGGGGAGACAGAGCAAATATTCAGCACAAAGGAAGTCAAGGCCCACTTCTTAGGCCAGGGGTAGGCAACCTTGGCTCTTTTATGACTCATGGACTTCAACTCCCAGAATTCCTGGGAGGGGTTTCGAAACTGAGCCATGCTGGCTCAGGGATTCTGGGAGTTGAAGTCCACCAGTCATGAGGGGGCCATAGTTCCCCCATGCTGGCTCAGGAATTCTGGGAGTTGAAGTCCACCAGTCATTAAAAAGCCAAGGTTGCCTACCCCTGGGCCCTAGGCGAACAATTTGCGTCCCACTTCGTCCCCAGTGCAACAAATCACACACCTTTTGGCCTGTTTCTGGAAACAACTGTCCAGGGAGGTGTCCCTATTCCGTCTTTCGTCCCAGCCTCGCTATTCCTCGTGACCGACCCGGGTTGAAACCACCAGCTGTTCAGGCTGACGAAGGGAAACCTGGATGTTCCCCCACCCCAACCCACCCCACCCACCTCTGGGGACTCAGCGGAAGCAAAGCGAGAATGCCACACGGAGCCACCAGCAATTTGTGTCTGCGCTGCCTGATGTTCATGTCACACTTCAGTGCCGGGAGGCACAAATGCGAGGCTTTGGAGGTGACATTCGGAGGTGGGTGGATGGCTTTTTTCCAAAGAGCTGGCATCAAAGAGACAGCTTCAAACCTCGGGCGCAGAGGGGCACAGATGCCGGAGCTAATTAGACACCCAGTGAGCAGGGAGGGAGTTAGAACGACAAGGAGGAGCAGCCCAGCTGCCTCCCGGCTTTCTTTCCCGGCTGGCTCTGCCCACAGGAGGAGAAACTGACCGGGCGTGGCAGGATCAGGCCCTCCTTTTGAGGGCACCTGCCCCGGGAAGAGCGGAAGGGGAGGAATTCCTACCTTCGTGCTCCTTTTCGGAGGTGCCCACCTTCTTGGCCTTTTTGGGGGACTTCATGAAGAGCGGGAAGATGGTACGAAGGCCCAGGATGTCCACGAACTTGTGGCAGTTGTCGGCCCCCTCCGGCCCGATCATGGCGTGGTCCAGGACCTTCAGGGCGCTGCTCCTGGAGATCTTCTTCTCTCTGCGGAGGAGAGGAGAGGCGGGTCAATGAGCCTGGGCTTGGCCGGGGAGGGGCAGGATGAAGACCGTGGGGGTCCTGGGTGCTCTCTGAGCTGGGTGGCTTTCATGCAGACGTTCCATGACCCAACTAGGGAACGTCATCAGTGCTAGGAGGGAGGAGGAGGAGGAGGAAGGAGGAGGAAGGAGGGGGATGGGGGAAAAGGAGGAAGGCTGTGGGGATCCCAGGTGCTCTCTGAGCTGGCTGGTTTTCTTGCAGACGTTTCATGACCCAACTAGGGAACGTCATCAGTGATAGAAGGGAGGAGGAGGAAGAGGAAGGAGGGGGAAGGGGGAGGAGGATGAAGGCTGTGGGGGTCCCTGGTGCTCCCTGAGCTGGGTGGTTTTCTTGCAGATGTTTCATGGCCCAACTAGGTAAAGTCATCAAAGTTAGAAGGGAGAGGAGTTTGCAGAGGTGGGGGGGGGAGGAGGAGAGGGGAGGAGGGGGAGGAAGAGGAAAAGAAAAAGGAATGTTTCATATTTATGACGGTCCCTTCCAGCTCTATTCCATTCCATTCCATTCCATATTTTCTTTTCTTTTCTATTCTATTCTATATTTTCTATTCTATTCTATTCCATTCCATATTTTCTATTCTATTCTATTCTATTCTATTCTATTCTATTCTATTCTATTCTATTTTACTCTTATTCTATTCCTACTCTATTCTAATTTTACTCTTATTCTATTCCTACTCTACTCTATTCTATTCCTATTCCTATTCTACTCTACTCTACTCTATTCTACTCTACTCTACACTATTCTATTCTATTCCATTCCATTCAATTCCATTTAGTCTACTGTGATTTAGTTTGTTTAATGTATGGTAAGCATTTACTTTTTCTAGCCCCCCAGAGAGGGATCCTTTTAAGGGACCTGGTTATAATTATGTCTCTTCAGAGCTATTTCCTGCTTTTTCCTCAACTGAATCTATGCACTTCTTCTCTTGGCTTGTTTGGAGAACAAATAATCTTTTCTGCAGGATTTTGTGTTTGCGTGTGAGAGGTGGAGAAGCCTACAAATATTGCAAAAATGAGTAAGCAAGCAAGCAAGCAGGCAAACCAGCCAACAACTCATGAAGGCGGGTCAGAGTTGCTCTGGGTTCAAGTCCAGCTGTCCACAGAACCTCTCGGTGGACTCGGCCTTTCTCAGCCCTCCGGCTGGCCTGCTTTCTGTGCTGGAGATGGACGGGAAAGGTCAGCCTCCCAAACGCCCCTGCCCAACCCCTTAAACTCCCCCCCCCATTTCAATTCCCCCACTTACGTGGCTGTGTGTTTCCTGCCAGAGAAAAATGGAGTTTTGCCTCCAGAACCCGTTTACGCTCCTTCACAAGGACGGCCCTGCTTTTCCTTCCTAGCCGGAGGGGCTAATGAATGTCTCAAAAGAGAGAGAAAAATATAAATCTCTCTCCCTGGAGCTTTACAGACAGTCCCCGACTTACAACTGTTTGTTTAGTGACCGTTCGGAGTTGCAGGGGCCCTGAAAAAAGCGACTTTGGAGCGTTTTTCACACTTACGGCCGTCGCAGCGTTCCCCAGGGCCACGTGATCAAAATTCAGACGCTTGGTAACCGACTCAGATTTATGATGGTCGCAGCGTCCCCAGGGGGTCATGTGATTCCCCCTTTTTTGCGACCTTCTGACATCAAACTCGATGGGGGAGGAGGCAGGTTCATTTAACGACCGTGTTGCTAACTTAACCGATGCAACAAAGGGGGCAAGGAAAGTCGTCAAAGGGGGCAGAGCTCCCTGAAGAAATTTGTCACTTAACATAAATCTGGGGCTCAGCTGTGGCCGTATGTTGAAGACTGCCTGCTTCCATTTTATCTTTCACTCGATTTTTCTTGTTACATTTTTGTCGGATGGCTTCTCTATCCCAAGTACGTTTAGCCAGTTTAACTTTTCAGAGCTCCGAAGGGCAGCCTGTTGGAAGCGAGGAACCGGGATTTACTCTGCTCCTCTCCCAACACACACACACACAAACACGCACGCACACACACACACACACACACACAGAGAGAGAGGGGGGGGTTGGACTAGAAGACCTCTGAGGTCCCTTCCAACTCTCTTCTTCTGTTTCCAAGCCTGCTTGCCCCATCTTGAAAATGAAACAAGTTAAAAGGCTAAACAAAGTTGGATCCTATAGCCGGAAGGGACCTTGAAAAAATACAGAATTGTGGGTATATGCATAATTCTGTACGTACGTACGTACGTATGTCATATTTATGTAGTGTATATTGTAGGTGTGACCCTTTGAGAGCTGAGGGTAACAAATTTTCATTTTAATGTATGCTGATTAGTGTACATTCAAAGTGACAATAAAGTTATTATTCTATTGTATTCTATTGTATTGTATGCTATTCTATATTTCTATTCTATTCTATTCTATATTTCTATTCTATTCTATTCTATTCTATTCTATATTTCTATTCTATTATATTTCTATTCTATATTTCTACTATTCTATTCTTAATTCTATATTTCTATTCTATTCTTTTTTTTATTGAAAAGTTTTATACAAATTTATTATTACAATACAATAGCCCTCCCTCCCTCCCCCCCACCCCAACCCGCCCCCCTCACTTCCCAGAGCTGATTATAGGGTTAATAAATAAGCAAACAAATTCTAACTAAGCTTAACCAACTATACCAATAACCAAATCCCTAAAATACTTTAACTCAAATACTAACAACAATTTCTATTCTATTCTTAATTCTATTCTATTCTTTTCTATTCTATGCTATACTATTCTATATTTCTATTCTATTCTATTCTATTCTATTCTATTCTATTCTATTCTATTCCATTCCATTCTATATTTCTATTCTATTCTATATTTCTATTCTATTCTATTCTATTCTATTCTATTCCATTCCATTCCACTCCATTTCATTCTTTGTATTTTATATTTATTCTTATTCTAATTATATTCTATTTTTATTCTATTTCTTATTCTATTTCTTATTCTATTCTATTCTATTCTATTCTATTCTGTTCTGTATTTCTATTCTATTCTGTTCTATTCTATTGCGTATTTCCATTCTATATTTCTATTCTATTCCATTCCATTCCCATTCCCTATTCTATTCTATTCTATTCTATTCTATTCTATTCTATTCTATTCTATTCTATTCTATTCTATTCTATTCTATTCTATTCTATATTTCTATTCCATTCCATTCCATTCCATTCCACTCCATTCCATTCTTTGTATTTTATATTTATTCTTATTCTAATTCTATTCTATTTCTTATTCTATTTCTTATCCTATTCCTATTCCATTCCATTCCATTCCATTCCATTCTTCTAATCCACCCCCTGTCCAAGGCAGGAGTCATCCTCCCTTCCACAACGAATATTTTCTTGAAAATCTCCAGCCAGGGAGCACCCACCGCTCCTGTTGCAATTAAGGTCTCTGTTTCTTTGGAAGAAGCAATTGCATATTGATCAGTGCTCCGGCAGCTGCAAGGAGCTGATCCCTGGAATATTCATGGCAATTTAAATTCGGGCTTTTAGAGATCGATGGATGGTTTGACCGATCTGTCCAAGGTTGTTTTTTTTAATTTGAAATATTTGTACTATCCGAGGGCAGGCAGTTCATCTTAATCACGGGGCTTTATGAGGAGCTGTGGACTTTGACTCCCAGAATTCCTGAGCCAGCCTGAGTCGAAGTCCACAGGTCCTAAGGGGGGTCACAACTGCCCACCCCTGCCCTAACCCAAGCTCTCTGCCTTGAGCGACACTTGCCAAAGGGGCCTGCTTTGCAAAACAGGGCCTGGGATCCTATTCTGCTAGGTGAACATCCCGCCAAGCGGCTCATGAAAAGAAATTTCTGCATTGATGCCCCAATTTGGAGTCTCCGAGCGGTTAATCAGTGGAACGGCTTCACTCCCAACAGTTGTAAGTGCGCCAATCCGGGAGGGTTTTCAAGACGAGACTGGAGAGCCATTGGTCGGAAATGGTACAAGGGGTCCTCGTGTTACAACAACTGGGCCCAAAATTTCCTCCTCCTCCTCCTCCCTACAAACTCCACTCCCGTCTAGCACTGAGGATGTTCCCTAGATGGATCATGAAAGGTCTGCAAGAAAACCACCCAGCTCAGAGAGCACCAAGGACCCCACAGTCTGTCTTTCCTTCCTCCCTCCCTCCCTCCCTCCCTTTTCCTTCCTTCCTTCCTTCCTTCCTTCCTTCCTTCCTTCCTTCCTTCCTTCCTTCCTTCCTTCCTCCCTCCCTCCCTCCCTCCCTCTCTCCCCCGTCCTCCTCCTCCCCCCTTCTAGCACTGATGATGCTCCCTAGTTGGGTCATGAAATGTCTGCAAGAAAACCACCCAGCTCAGAGAGGACCCAGGACCCCACAGTCCTCCTCCTCCTCCTTCTAGCACTGTTCCCTAGTTGGGTCATGAAGCGTCTGCAAGGAATCCACCCAGCTCAGAGAGCACCAGGGACCCCACACTTCTCCTCCTCCTCCTCCTCCTCCTCCTCTTCCCCCTCCTCCTCCCTTCTAGCATTGATGATATTCCCTAGTTGGGCCATGAAACATCTGCAAGAAAACACTTAAGCTCAGAGAGCACCAGGGACCCCACAGTTCATCCTCCCCCCCTTGTTCTCCTCCTTCTCTTCCTTCCTCTTCCTCTCCTAAGAGAAAAAGGCAGTCTCCATGTCTTGGCGGGTGACGTGGAAAGCCTTTCCCTGCAGAAGAGAAGGTGCCAGCTGAGTTTTTAACTTCAGGCTGTGTTTCCCAACTAACAGGACGGATTGGGCTGGTTGGGGGGGGGGGGGAGAGAGAGAGAGAGAGAGAGAGAGAGAGAGAGAGAGAGAGAGAGAAGCTGGGGAGGGGGATCCCTGCCGTGCAGCCATTAGCCTGGCTTCCTTTGACCTGTGCAGAGGCCTCTGATGGCTGCCCAGGCGCTGCCGGACGGGCCAGCCGTACTGAACTTACTGAACCAGTGGATTTCTGTGTGGCCAGCCGCAGCCTCTGCAAAAGCTTTCACAGGAAGAACAGAAGAACAGAGTCTAATTAAAGCTGACTTGCAGGGGGGGGCAGAGAAGAGGGAGGGACCTCAGAGGTCATCTAGTCCAACCCCCTGCTGAAGCAGGAAACCCTGTACAGGTACTCCTCGATTTTCAGCGCTTTGTTTACAACGGCCTTGGGAAAAAAAAGTGACTTATGGCCACTTTTCACACTTAAGGGCCGGTTGCAGCCTCAGCGCGGTCCCGAGATTGACGTTCAGATGCTCGGCAACTGGCATGGACTTAATGAGGGTTGCGGCGTTCCGGTTGACGAGCAGAGTCAATGGAGGAAGCTGGATTCGCTTAACGGCCCGGCCTCTGGCTTAACCGCTCTAAGGATTCGCTTAACGAAATGCGACAAGGCAGGTGGTAAAATTTCCTGCCGTAAAGCCTGGGGAGGGGGTGAGTGGGGGAATAAAGGGGGAGGGGATGACAGGAACCGGAAGTGGCCCCAGGAGACAACGGCTGAGCGATCAAGGACCCAGGCAGGGGACACTCACAAAATGACCAGGGGGGGGGGAAGGGAAGGAGGAGGCGGAGGAAGGGGGGCAAATGTGAGTCCTGGGTGCTCTCTGAGCTTGGCTGTTTTCTTACAGACGTTTCATGGCCCAACTAGGTAACATCATCAGTGCTAGAAGGGAGGAGGAGGAGGAGGAGGAGGAGGAGGAGGAGGAGGAGGAGGAGGAGGAGGACTGTGGGGTCCTGGGTGCTCTCTGAGCTGGGTGGTTTTCTTGCAGACATTTCATGACCCAACTAGGGAACATCATCAGTGCTAGAAGGGAGGAGGAGGAGGAGGAAGACTATAGCATCCTTGGTGCTCTCTGAGCTTGGTGGTTTTCTTGCAGACATTTCATGACCCAACTGGGTAACATCATCAGTGCTAGAAGGGAGGAGGAGAAGGAGGAGGAGGAGGACTGTGGGGTCCTGGGTGCTCTCTGAGCTGGCTAGTTTCCTTGCAGACATTTAGTAAGGCTGGCCCAGGAGAAAGAGGAGAGGGAGGACAGGGAAGATAAGAGTCAGAGAGGGAGGGGAGGGAGAGAATGAGAGGAGGAAGAATAGAATACAGAATAACAGAGCTGGAAGGGACCTTGGAGGTCATCTAGTCCAGCCCCCTGCTCCAGCAGGAGACCCTGCACCCTTCCAGCCAAACGGGTGTCCGATCTCTTTCTGGAAACCTCCCAGAGCCTCTGGAGAGAGGCTGCCCCGGGGACCCAGCTGCCGCCCGTGCCTGGGGTGAGGGGAGCCCCCGCCTGCCCGGCCTGCCTCACCTGAGCATGAGGTTCATCAGCTGCAGCCCCTCCCCCTTCAGGAAGCGCTCCCGGTTGGAGCTTAGCATCAGCGAAGAGCAGAGCGAGTCAAAGAGGTTCTCCATCATCTCCTGCTCCTCTGCCGGACCTGGGTTGTGCCGCTTGAAGACCTGCGCCGAGAGAAAGCAGCAGAGGGGTCAGCAGACAGCCTCCCCGGGATCCCTCAGGAGCCCCCCCCCCGAGGCTGCCCCTGGACCCGAACGGGGCTCCTGACTTCGGGGGGGGGGGCAAGGCAGGAAGACCCAGGGGCACATTTAGCCCAATAAAAGGAAAATATCTTTAGCTCAGGGTTGAACTGTGGGGTCCTGGGGGCTCTCTGAGCTGGGCGGTTTTCTTGGAGACGTTTCATAACCCAACTAGGGATCATCATCAGTGCTAGAAGGGAGGGGGGGGGTTACGGAGAGGAGGAGGAGGAGGAGAACTGAGAGGTCCTTGGTGCTCTCTGAGCTTGGTTGGTTTCTTGCAGACGTTTCATGACCCAACTAGGGATCATCATCAGTGCTAGAAGGGAGTGGGAAGGAGAATAGGAAGGAAGGAAGGAAGGAAGGAAGGAAGGAAGGAAGGAAGGAAGGAAGGGAGGGAGGGAGGGAGGGAGGGAGGGAGGGAGGGAGAAGAACTTGTGGGGTCCTGGGGGCTCTCTGAGCTTGGTTGGTTTCTTGCAGACGTTTCATGACCCAACTAGGAAACGTCATCAGTGCTGGAAGGGAGGGGAGTTTGTAGGGAGGAGGAGGAAGGGGGAGAGGAGGAGGAGGACTGTGGGGTCTTTGGTGCTCTCTGAGCTGGGTGGTTTTCTTGGAGACGTTTCATAACCCAACTAGGGATCATCATCAGTGCTAGAAGGGAGGGGGGGTTATGGAGAGGAGGAGGAGGAGGAGGAGGAAGACTGTGGGGCTCTTGGTGCTTTCTGAGCTTGGCTGTTTTCTTGCAGACCTTTCATGACCCCACTACGTAACATCATCAGCGCTAGTCCCAGGAGATTCACAAGCTGTCTATGCCAGAGCTCACCAACCTTTCCAGACCAATGTCCAGTCTCTCCTTTAAAGCCTGCAGTGATGGAGCACCCACAACTTCTGGTGGCAAGCTGCTCCACTGGTTAATTGTCCTCACTATCAGGTTGCTTCTCTCCTTGGTTAGTTTCCATCCGCTCCTTCTGGTCCTGCCTTCAGGCGCTTTGGAGAAGAGGTGGACCCCCCCTCTCTTCTTTGGGGCAGCCCCTCAAATATTGGAAGACAGCCATCATATCGCCGCTAGTCCTTCTTTTCACTAGACTAGACCTACCCAATTCCTGCTACCAGGTTGGGGAACGGCAGCATTTATGCGAAGGACTATTTATATATTAAGGAAGGTAGCAAATCCTTCTATTCCCCACCCTTCAGCCAGAACTGAAGAAGCTCCTTGGATGAGAAGCGAAACCTCTTCACGGGGAGGGAGGGGGAATCAAGGAAGTCCAGTTACCCCTTGAAAAAGCATCTTTGGGACTCCAGGCAGAATCTGGGCAGGCAGCTGGTATCGCACGGACCTCCTTCCGACTGGCTGGCAGGGCAGCCCTGCTGTGCCACCCGGGGGGGGGGGAACGCTTCAGCCCCCTTGTTGTCTTTCCACTCAATGGCTCTTGGGGCCATCTTGCTTGACAAGCTACAGGAGGCAGCCAGCTCCGCTCCTGAGCTGGGAAGACTCAAGGGCTGACATTGCTGCCATCCTCCCATTCCCAGGAGTTCCTCAGCTCACAAACTGCAAGGCCGGGGCGAGGGGGGCACCCGGAGACAAGCCCTGGCACAGAGGGCGCGTCACGAAATCAAAGCGAAGCCATGCCATGATGATGAGAAGCAGAAAGGGGAAGGCTGGGCCAGGAGAGGTCTTCAAAACAAGGGCAGCTTCCAAAAGAAGGGGATGCTGCGCAGGTGGTCCTCGCTTTACGACCTCAACCGGGACGCAATGACGATCTTATGGTTCCGGCTAACGAAACACTTCAAAGAACTTCCAGGCACTGATTTCCCTAAAAGTCTTTTATTGCTTCAAAATGTCGGCACAGGCATAACAGAAGGTTTATGCTAAGATCTAAATCAGTGTTTCTCAACCTTGACAATGTTAAGGCATGTGGACTTCAACTCCCAGAATTCCACAGCCAGCATTGCTGGCTGTGGAATTCTGGGAGTTGAAGTCCACATGCCTTAACATTGTCAAGGTTGAGAAACACTGATCTAAATTCTCTTCCTCTGAGCAGTTAAATTATCAGCATGTTCCCTCCCTAAATTAGCTGTGGTATATCACATTCCCCAATTAGTGTGAAGGTCCAAGGTTTCCTTCCTCTTTCTTTCCCGGGCTTTACCCCCACCCTCTTCTGCTCTGCATTAACCCCAAAAATACCAGACAGTTCTGCATATTGTCAAAGCAAGAATATACAGTATTTGCAACGTTGACAGACGATTCTTAAAGGAGTCGCACCCAACACGATGATCTTTGTTGGCCGATTCCCTGTGAATCACACGGCCGTTAAGCGAATTTAGATTCCTCTTAACAGAGTTTATATTATTTTTTCATTTTGAAATGGATTTGCCGCCTGTCTCGTATTCAACAAGCCTGCATGGCGTACAGCGTTAATATAACATATAGAAGGCAGGTCAACAAGTTGCAAATAGATGCAGTAGGTTAAAAATTTTTTGGGAGGGCTGGTTTTGCAAAAAGGGGTATATTAATCAGCATTCAAACTAGAGGGGATGATATACGAAGAGCAAAAAAATTCTGGCTCAGGATTCACACATGGTTGGAAAAGATGACTAAAATACAGAGAATTTAAACCAGCATTCTTTTTGTTAGGAATAGTAGGAGCCAAGTATGAGAAGGAGATGGAGTATTTAATATTGCATATATTGACAGCAGCGAGAATAGGATTTGCCCAATACTGGAAAAATGAAAATTTACTAACTGAAGAGATCCTAGTTAAGAAAATTTTAGAATGTGCAGAAATGGATAGATTAACTTTAGAGAATAAAGAGAAAGAAGATTCAGTCTATTTCAAAACATGGGGTAATTTTGACCAATGGTTAGAAAAACGAACTAGTGAGAAATGAATGTAATGTTATCGTGTATATATACTAGTAAGATGAATGATAAGTATTGATTAACTGATATTGTTCATGATTGTTGTTTCTCATATTCATTATAGTTATCTACTATTATAGTAATTAGTGTTACTGAACATTGTACTCGGACAACAGTCTGTTTGCTAAAGCTTGAAAATGTCAATGGGGGGTATCCCAATGTTCCCAACCCTGAGTCCCACCCCAAACCCCAGTTCCCATCCCGCCCCCAACCCTATAAAACTCAGTAAAACTTTGATAAAAAAACCTAGAGGGGATGATATACGTATAGGTGGTGTTTTTTTTAATGAACTTTTTTTTAATGCTTTCATTGTTTTGTGGGTTTTTTTCTCTTTCGGGGTTTTTTTTTTTTTGAGTTCTGTGTTTTTGCATTTTGACTGGAGGCTAAAGCATATAAGGAACGGCTGCTGGAATTGGGTATGTCCAGTTTAATGAAGAGAAGGACGAGGGGGGATATGATAGCAGCCTTCCAGTATCTCAGGGGCTGCCCCAAAGAAGAGGAAGTCAAGCTATTCTCCAAAGCCCCTGAAGGCAGGAGAAGAAGCAACGGATGGAAACTGACCAAGGAGAGAAGCAACCTGGAACTAAGGAGAAACTTCCTAACAGTGAGAACAATTAACCAGTGGAACAACCCACCTCCAGAAGCGGTGAATGCTCCAACACTGGAAGTTTTTAAGAAGAGACTGGACATTGGAATATTGGAAGAAGGATTCTTTGCCTACTTTAGAAGAATGGTTTCTTAAAGTTTCTTATTTATCTGAAATGGCAAAAATTTCAGCTTATCTGAAAGACCAAACTCAAGAGAGATATATTTTGGTGTGGAAAAGATGGGTGAATTTTATACAGAATAAATATGAGATTAGAAAGTATTATTTAGCTTTTGAATAACTTATGTTTAAGGCTAATGGTTAGAATTTTTGTTTTTATATATTGGAGTTAATGTATTTAAAATCTTGTTTCCTGGATGTATGTATAATTGTTTGATGTTCATTTAAGTTGTATGGGTTTTTTTTTTTGTTTTTAACCCTGTATTCAGCTCTGGGAAGGAGGGGGGAGGGTGATGGGGGGTGGGAGGGGGGGAGTATTTTATTGTAAAACTTTAAAAATTTTCAATAAAAAAAAAGAAGAGAATGGACAGCCATTTGTCGGAAATGGTATAGGATTTCCTGCATGAGCAGGGGGTTGGACTAAATGACCTCCAAGGTCCCTTCCAACTTTATTATTATTATTATTAATATTATTATTGAATAAAATAAGAGCCTATATTTAAAAAACACGAAAGCATTTAAAAAAAACATCTTAAAATCAACCATCACAGAAACCCTTGCTGTTCAGAAGCCGACTGAGAACGTCAGAAACGCTGCAACCAGCGTCAATACATGGTGGGGTTTGTCAAGCATCCGAATTCTGATCACGTCAAAACCGGTCACAAGTCACATTTTTCAGGGCTGTTGTGACTTCAAAGGTTGCTAAACAAACAATCTTAAGTCAAGGACTTACTACGTCCTTGTGGTCTTACTCAGGATTTATAGAGCGGTACCAATAGTTCACCTGATTTTGATCCTGTGCGTCTGTTTACAGTCCTTGGTGGCATCAACAGAGGCATAGAATCAAAATCACCTGAAGTGTTAGCTCTGCTTTGTAAATCCTTAGTAAGGCCACACCCGGAATCCTGCATCCAGTTTGGGTCACCCCATTAGAAAAAAAGATGTTGAGACTTTGGAAAAAGTGAAGACAAGAGCAATTAAGACGATTAAAGGCCTGGAGACTAAAACATAGGAAGAACGGCTGCAGGATTTGGGTGTGGCTAGTTCTAGAGAAAAGAAGGACTAGGGGAGACACGATTGCAGCATTCTAGTATTTGAGGGGCTGTCCCAAAGAAGAGGGAGTCAAGCTATTCTCCAAAGCACCAGAGGGCAGGAGAAGAAGCAACGGATGGAAACTCATCAAGGAGAGAAGCAACCTGGAACTAAGGAGAAACTGTTTGACAGTTAGAACAATTAACCAGCGGAACAACCCGTCTCCAGAAGTTGTGGGTGCTCCATCACTGGAGGTTTTTAAGAAGAGATTGGACAAACATTGGTCTGAGATGGTATAGGAGTTGTTGCCTGAGCAGGGGGTTGGACTAGAAGACCTCCCTCCCAGCTCTGTTCGGATTGACTGGACCTGTGAATGCTCTTTCAGGATCTCTCAAGGTGGGCTGCAGCCTCCCCACCAGGGTCTCAAAGGCCGCTGGGCTTCAGCTTCCATTTTCCCCTCAGTTAAGCGTTGCCCACCCTCCTTCTCCTCTCAGGGCCCTCCCAGGGCAAGCAAAAGGGCAACAAATTGCTCACCGACAGTTGCTGAAGCAGCACATCAATCCCATCCAGCTCTCCCAGCATCTCCCGGTTGTCTGCAGGAAGGAGGGGAGAGGTCAAAGGTCAGATCTGACTCCCCCCCCTCACTGGGCAAAGGAGAGGAGGGGGGGGCACAGTCAGCTACCTGCCATGTCAATCTCAGCACCTAAAATCCACAGGACTGTGCAGAGAGCCCAGGGCAAGGAGAGGAGGTGGGAGGGGGGTTGGGGGGCACAGAGCCCCCCCCCATGACCTGGGGAAGGGCAGGTTCAGGGCTCACCGTCTGTGTTCTGGAGGAGGATGGCCAGCACCTCGCTGCAGTAGAGCTTGTTGGCATCAAAAGGCATCTTAGCCTGCAAGGGGGAGAAGAGCAGAGACGTAGGTCATTTAGCATTCTTCCCGGTCATTTAGCATTCTTCCCGTGGCAAACAGAGGCCGGTCTTGGGGGGGGGGGTCAAGGTTATGGGAATTGTAGTCCTCAGGCTCCCATGAGTCATCCTGTGTCAGAGCCTGCAACAACCCAGGAGCAGACACAGCCAACAGTGGTTTGTACCAAAGGGTGGTTTATCTACAATATCTACTGTACAATGCTACACACGTATCACTAGGAACAATATACATACACGTGCTACAGGCAGAATCCAACAAAACAGTAAATACAGCAGGAAAGGGAAAAGAAAGAAAAAAAACCACACACTAGTAGAGACTCCCATTTTTTACAAAGGCTCTGAAAGAGACAACAGCCAAGAAAGACTTAGAAAGAGTGCAGAGAAAAGCAACAAAGATGATTAGGGGACTGGAGGCTAAAGCATATAAGGAACGGCTGCTGGAATTGGGTATGTCCAGTTTAACGAAGAGAAGGACGAGGGGGGACATGATAGCAGTGTTCCAATATATCGGGGGCTGCCCCAAACAAGAGGGAGTCAAGCTATTCTCCAAAGCACCTGAAGACAGGATAAGAAGCAACGGATGGAAACTAATCAAGGAGAGAAGCAACCTAGAACTAAGGAGAAACTTCCTGACAGTGAGGACAATTAACCAGTGGAACAACCTGCCTCCAGAAGCAGTGACTGTTCTAACACTGGAAGTTTTTAAGAAGAGTCTGGAGGGCCATTTGTCTGAAATGGTGTAGGGTTTCCTGCCTGAGCAGGGGGTTGGACTAGATGACCTCCAAGGTATCTTCTAACTTTATTATGGATCATTGCACAGTCAGCCAGATGTTCAGACTGGATTTGGCATTTTGTCTACCTATCGAGTCCTTACCCAGGACCTGGGATAGGCAGATGTGGATGTTTGATGGTATTACAGGTATCGTCGCAGGATGGAAGCAGTTCCTAGTAAGGCCGCCTTTTGCAATTGACTAATGGTGAATCTGTCAATGCCAATGGTGTTCAAGTGGTGCTCCAGTTGTTTTGGGATTGCACCCAAGGCGCCTATGACTATTGGTACTACCCTTGCTTGCCTTTGCCTCAGTCTTTCTATTTGTAGGTCTTTGCTTCCAGCATCATCATCATCATCATCGCATCAGCTGATCAGCTCTTAAATCAGGGCTCTTCAAACTTGGCAACTTTAAGACTTGTGGATAATTCAACTCCCAGAATTCCTCAGCCAGCTTTCCAGTTTGAAGACCACTGTCTTAAATCATCACCTTGATATCCTGGCTAATTTTTCTTTAGTTCACTTGTCAGGAGTTGGAGAAACTGACCACAAGGCTCAGCCTGTCTACCAATACAAGGCTGATACTAGCAATAGTAGAAAACAGAATAATGGGCTTGGAAGGGACACTGGAAGTCTTCTAGTCTAACCCTCAACCCTCAACACGGCTGGCTCAGGAATTCTGGGAATTCAAGTCCCCAGGCCCGAAAGCCAGCACAGTTGCCCACCTGCCTGAGCCCTCAGAGAGAAGCAGGCCGACACTCACCTTCACCCTCTTGAGGAGCCACTGCATCAGGCCCTGCTGAGCAGCATCCACACACATCTCTGGCCGAAACTCCGCCATGTTCTCAATGATAGCTTTGAGAAGAGAAGGATTCAGAGGGAAAGAGAGAACGCAGAAGACATGGTCAGTTCTGAATTCCCAGAGATTTCATAACGTATCTCAGTGGTTCTCAACCTTTTTAATGCCGCGACCCCCAACCGGTCGTAAGTCGAGGGCTACTCAACCGGTCGTAAGTCGAGGACTACTCAACTGGTGCAGCACCGTTTGCAGAATGGGACTTTTGGCGGGCTCAGCAGGGCAGAGACAGCCTGGACAATTCCTATTGGCTTTTGAAAGCCAATAGAATTAGACTCTATTCAAGAGAGTCTATTCTATTGGCTTTCAAAAGCCAATAGAATAAAAGGGAGTAGCACAGCTAAGGAAAAGGGGGAAAAAATGGCGGACTGCGTTGTTTGGCGACCCCCGTGAAATGGTCGTTCGACCCCAAATGGGGTCCCGACCCACAGGTTGAGAACCACTGATGTATCTCAACAGCCTTCCCAACCCAGCAGTCTTCAACATTCTCTAAGACAGGGGTCTTCCAAGGTGGCCCTTTGATGACTTGTGGACTTCAACTCCCAGAATTCCTCAGCCAGCCTCCATTTTCTTTCTTAGATTTAAGACAGGGGTCTTCCAAGGTGGCCCTTTGATGACTAGTGGACTTCAACTCCCAGAATTCCTTAGCCAGGCACACGTGCCTGGCTGTGGAATTCTGGGAGCTGAAGTCCACCAGTCATCAAAGGGCCAAGTTTGAAGACCCCTGCTCTAGGACAATCCTTCTTAACCTTGGCAACTTTTAAGAGCCATAGTTGGCTGGGAGATTCTGGGAGTTGAAGTCCACGTGCTTAAAAGTCGCCAAGGTTGAGAACCGCTGCTCTAAGAGGGGGTGGTCCTTTGGCCAGGGTTGATGAGGGGTAGGTCATGGTCTTGAGAGGCCCAGGTGGCTGGAGGTGGTCTGAGGGGTCCCCCCCCCCCATATTAAAAGCTCTTGTCCACACTCTTGTCTGGAAGTTGAGTCATGGCAACTGGACCTCCGGACAACTCTACTGGAGGATTGAGAATCTTCACTGACATGGGAAGTTTTTAAGAAGAGAGTGGACAACCATTTGTCTGAAATGGTAGAGAGTTTCCTGCCTAAGCAGGGGGTTAGACTAGAAGACCTCCAAGGTCCCTTCCAACCTATTCTATTCTATTCTGTTCTATTCTATTCTATTCCATATTTTCTATTCTGTTCTATATCTGTTCTATTCTATTCTGTAATCCTATTCTGTTCCATATTTTCTATTCTATTTCATATTTTCTATTCTATTCTATTCTATTCTATTCTATTCTACTCTATTCTATTCATTCCTATTCATATTTATTCTATTCCTATTCCTATTCTACTATTTCTATTCTATTCTATTCTATTCCATTCCATTCTTATTCTATTGTTACTCTGTTCTGCTCTTATTCTGTTGTTATTCTTTTCTATTCTAAATCTGTTCTATTCTATTCTATTCTATTCTATTCTATTCTATTCTAAATCTATTCTATTCTATTCTATAATTCTATTCTATTCCATATTTTCTATTCTATATTCTATTCTATTCTACTCTATTCTATTCTGTAATTCTATTCTATTCCATATTTTCTATTCTATTCAATTCTATTCAATCCTATTCCTATTTATTCTATTCCTATTCCTATTCTACTCTATTCTATTCCATTCTATTCTCTTCTAAATCTGTTCTATTCTATTCTATATCTGTTCTATTCCATTCTATACCTGTTCTATTCTTTCCATACCCATCTCAATTTCCTTTTTGCCTTATTGTCCATAAATATTGTCCATTCATAAACAATGCAAAAGAACACAACAAGAATGTATCGATACCATAACCAAAAACATCTTTTCGGTTATCCTACCGATATATTCTCCTTGTGTTCTTTTGCACTGCTTATATAAATGGATAACATTTATGGACCATAAGACAAAGAGATGCCTTCTGATGCCAACAAACTCTACTGCAGCCAGGTGCTGCCCATCCTCCTCCAGAACACGGATGGTGAGCCCTGATGGGTGGATAGCAGAGAGCCGGGGTGTGTGTGTCTACAATCAATTCAACAGCCATCTCCAGCGTGAAGAAGTCTAGGAAGGTGAGGGCAGATCTGACCCCCTTACCTCTTCCCCCTCCAATGGGCACCCAACTTACCCAGCGTATTGTGAACGCCGTCCGCCTCTTCCTTGACGCTTTCATCCAGCCGCTCGAGATTCTGCACCAACAAGGCCACCACCTGCCCTTCCACCTGGGCCAAGGAAGAGGGAGAGAGAAAGGGCAGGCTCAGAGCAAGCGGGCTGGAGGAGGACAAGTCAACCTGAGGCCCCTGCGCTGGCCGAAGGCAAGAGACCAAACGTAGCAGAAATGAAAATGGCGCCACCGAGGGATGCTTTGATTAGTACAATGGCTTTTTTCTCTGCAACTCCCCTGGTCAACAAAGATGATCAGGGGGATGGAGGCTAAAACATATGAAGAATAGTTGCAGGAATTGGGTTTGGCTAGGAGGACGAGGGATGACATGACAGCTGTCTTCCAGTATCTCAGGGGCTGCCCCAAAGAAGAGGGAGTCAAGCTATTCTCCAAAGCGCCTGAAGGCAGGACAAGAAGCAACGGATGGAAACTGATCAAAGAGAGAAGCAACCTGGAACTAAGGAAGAATTTCCTGACCGCTAGAACAATTAATCAGTGGAATAACCTGCCTCCAGAAGTTGTGGCGGGAGGGCGGGGGGCCGAATAGACCTGTAACGCGCTCATTAGCTAAATTGTTGGCTTCACAGAGACCATAAGAACGTGCCTCCCATTCCTGGCTTACACTCTTGACGATGTCAGCAGGCACTGACGAAAGCTCAGTTTTAATAAAAAAATTTAGTCTCGGTAATCCGAGTTAAAGGGAGACGAGTATAGCTATTTCAAGCTCTTTAGCTCTCATCAGCTAGTCTTACCCCTCTGGGATTTGAACCTGGGCAGCTTGCATGTTAGGCAGCTGTATTAACCTTTAGGCCACAGGCTCCCCCTCACCCCTGTCAGCAGAGACCAGGGAGGATATATATCTATGTGTTGGGTGAAGCACCCAGTCTACCAAATATAAAGCAATCTGTTCTGCGTTTCATTCCAGTCTAGGAGCATCTTTTGCAGGCAGACGTCACTACTGTAAGCACTGTAAATTCTCTCTCTCTCTCTCTCTCTCTCTCTCTCTCTCTCTCTCTCTCTCTCTCTCTCTCTCTCTCACACACACACACACACACACACACACACATACATATACATACATATACACATGTAATGTGAAGTAAAATAAGGTGATCACCAGGATAAAGTCATAAACACAAATGTTTAATCTACAAAACCAAGCTTTCGTCGGCCACACTACCAACATCGACCCGATCCAGGGTCAAAGCGCAGAGGCAGCCAGCCACATAAAAACAGACTCCCAGATCCAGCATTTTATACCGTGACGAAGTCGGTAGTGTGGCCAACGAAAGCTTGGTTTTGTAGATTAAACATTTATGTTTATGATTTTATCCTGGTGATCACCTTATTTTACTTCACATTATGTGTATACCCGGGATTCGTGTTTTTAATACTATTAAGAACAATATACACATGAAGGAGGGGAGGAGGAACAATATGGGCGGGGGTTATGAATCTAGGGCACAATTCCGGGAGACGGATAAACAAGACCAAAATAGCCGTGAGGCTTGTAAGGATACTGAAAGTGATAATTGCCCACCCCCACTCGTAGAGGGAAGTCGTGTGTGGGATGGTGGTGGGGGGGAGGCTATGAGCAAGGAAGGCAAAAAGATCTGGACTCCCAACTCTGAAACAACTTATGACAGAATGCAGATTAGTAATGTGGGATGTAGGCTGGAGACCCAACCCGATCAGCTGGGGCCTATGACACGCTCCAGGAGCCGGAAGCAGACACTAAACAGCTGTATATAAGACTCTCCCCCGGCACTTACCTTTTAACCCTGACGATGTCAATTGTGTTTGACGAAAGCTCGGTGGATTAAAACTCTATTTTTATAGATACTCTCTTGGTGATCATTACTATTTGACTATATATATATATATATATATATATATATATATATACGGCTCTCCTTTTTATTATTTATTTCATTCACATATATATCTCAATAATAATAATAATAAAAAACCAATACGCAACCATAAAAACAACAATAACTGTTTACCACCCAGAGCCACTGATTGGAGACGGGCAGGTATACAAATTAATTAATCAATCCAATTGGGAACAAAGACTGTATGAAAAGCAAACCAGGCAGAGGAGCAAGCTGACTTGATGTAGGCAAGGCCTTGGGCTCTGTTGAGAAATACAAAGAATTTGGTCTGCCAAGCTGGGCGGGAAGCCCTTTGTGCTACCTTCAGCTAGCAATTTATTGACCATCCGGGAAAGGTCAGCTGGATGGCTGCACACAGCGATAGCAGAAAAGGAAATGCTTTGCCACAGCATCTGCTAATGGGGCAAGCACCGTGAGCTTTGCTGTCCAGCAGAAATGCCATCTCCCAGTGACTGAGGCAGGAAAGCAGAGTGGATTAAAAAAATCAGGAATCTTTCACCATTATGGTTTGGTCTCGGGTTTTAAGATTAATGTAAATAAGACTAAAATTTTACCTAAAAATATGTCGAGTCAGGAGAAGCAGATTTTGGTTAACTCGACGGGTTTTGAGATTGTTAATAAGGTAAAATATTTGGGGGTGATGCTGTCTGTTTCTAATGCAAAATTATTTAAAAACAATTATGAAAGGTTGTGGGTCGGGGTACAGAAAGACTTGAAGAACTGGGAAAAGCTGCAATTATCCCTCATGGGAAGAATTGCAGTGATAAAAATGAATATTCTACCCAAGTTTCTTTTTTTGTTTCAAATGTTACCAATTTTGAAAAATGAGATTAATTTAAATGAGTGGCAGAAGGGTCTCAATAAATTTATTTGGGCAGGGAAAAAACCAAGGGTTAAGTTCAAAATTATGCAAGACTTCCGTGAGAGGGGCGGACTCAAGGTACCAAATTTGAAATTATATTATGATGCGGTGGTTTTAACATTAATTAGTGACTGGGTAAATTTGACAAATTCTGAGATACTTTATCTAGAGGGATGGGATTTACTTTATGGGTGGCATGCCTATTTAATATTTAATAAAAAAATAGATTGGGCTTTTAAATCTCATATTTTAAGAATTTCTTTACTTAGGATTTGGAGAAAATATTATAAAAGTGATTTTAAAGTACCATTATGGGCTATACCTTGGCATGCGATAGAAGGAATAAAAAGAGGGGTTAAAATGGATATGGTGTCTTATAGACAGTTACTTAAATGGGATGGACAAAACTGGCAATTAAAATCACGGGAAGAATTAGCACAAGAAAATTTTACTTATTCTTGGTTCCAATATAGGCAACTACTAGATAGATGGAAGATGGATTGTAAGGTGGGTTTTCTTAGAGAAGATGAAAATCTTATTAAGCAACTGAAGGATCAAAGACAAACCCACATTAAGAGAATTTATGGGGTTTTAGTTGAATTGGACTCAGAAACGGAACTAATTAAAGATTGTATGATTAGATGGGCGCAGAACTTTGGTGAGCCAGTTTCATTGGACACCTGGGAAACTATTTGGGTGAGAAATGTCAAATTTACTCAAGCACAGAATTTAAGGGAGAATTTTTATAAAATGTTTTATAGATGGCACCTTGATCCACAAAAAATGTCTTATATGTACCCTGACGTGCAACCTAAATGCTGGAGATGTGGTTACAAGGAGGCTTCTTATTATCATATTTGGTGGTCATGCAGAGAGATAAAAGCATTTTGGATCAAAATATGGTGGAATATCCAGAGAATTTTTAGAAGGAGGGTAAAATTTACTCCGCAATTATTTTTGTTAGGTATTGTTACAGATTGTGATACAAAGGAGGTTGTATTGATGTTAAACTTGATCACAGCCGCGAGGCTGTTAGTTGGACAATATTGGAAGAAGGAATCTTTGCCTACATTGCAGGAATGGTTTTTTAAAGTAGCTTATCTGGCGGAAATGGCAAAGATTTCGGCTTTCTTAAAGCAACAAACGCAAGAGAAGTTTTTTGCTATCTGGGACAAATGGATAAAATTTATACAATTTAGATTGGGTATACAAAAATATTATATAGCCTTTTCATAAGTTTTATTTTTATATATATTATAGATATCTTTTTTATATATATAAATATAGAGTTTTTAATTTAATTTTTTTTTTTTTTTTTTTATTATTTCTTAAGCCTATATTCTGCTCTGGGAAGCTCAGGGGGGGGGAAGGGAGGGTTTTTGGGAGGGGTGTGGGGTGGGGTTTTTTTTTTTATATGTATTGTTTAATTTTTTTTTCTCTTTTGTATATGTTGTTTTTTGTTCTGTATTGTTCTTGTTTTTTTTGTAAAATTTATAAAACTTTTAATAAAAAAAAAAAAAAAAGAAAGAAATGTTAAGCACTCATACTTACTAAAGTCAAATAACAGCTCTTTCTCACACATTTATTGTTGCATTAGCTTTTGTGGTTCATGGTGCATTTCATCAAATAAAAAGTTTGCTTTGTAAAAAAAAAAAAAAATAAAAAATAAAAAAAAAAAAAACAAAAATCAGGAATCTGGTTTAAAAGGTCAGAATACAGAATAACAGAGTTGGAAGGGACCTTTGGAGGTCTTCTAGTCCAACCCCCTACTCAAGCAGGAGACCCTATGCCGTTTCAGACCAATGGCTGCCCAGTCTCTTCTTGAAGACCTCCAGTGATGGAGTACCTACAACTTCTGGAGGGACGTTGTTCCACTGGTTGATTATTCTCACTGTCAGGAAGCTTCTCTTTAATTCCAGGTTACTTCTCTCTTTGACCAGTTTCCAACCATGGTTTCTCCTCCTTCCCTCTGGTGCTTTGGAGAACAACGTGACCCCCTCCTTCTTGTGGCAGCCCCTCAAATACTGGAATACTGATATCATGTCACCCCTGGTCCTTTTTTTCTCTAGACTAGCCAAACCCAAGTCCCTTCAGGAGATGGATAAGAAGGAACTGAGTCCTTGAGGACACAAAGAAAAAAAATGACACACAAGACAAGAGAACCTGGACCGGAACCCATGAGACCCCCCCCTCCCCAAATCCCATCAAGAGCTACCAGACCTGTCAATCAACAAGGCAACAGGAGCTGCCAGTCCTGTCCATCAACAAAGCAAAGAGCTTTGGGGATCAAAGGGACCCTGAAGGCCCCACTTTTAGAGCCTGTTTGGATCCAGACCTGGTGACTTCCGTCCCTCTGGCAGCCTAGTGGAGGAGGAGGTGGGTGAGTGTGCATGAGTGTGTGCGCTCGCGCACACTGAGAAAAAGCAATTAAAGTCAGAACAATTCGCCAGTGGAACCACCTGCCTCCAGAAGCGGTGAATGCTCCAACACTGGGAGTTTTTAAGAAGAGACTGGACAGCCATCAGTCCGAAATGGTATAGGGCAGTGATGGCAAACCTTTTAGAGACCGAGTGCCCCAAACCCACTTATTTATCGCCAGGTGCCGGGTGGGCGTGGCCCACTGGGTGGGCATGGCTGTGGTGGTGATGGCAGACTGGGTGGGTGTGGCCAAGGTAGGCATGGTCATCTCGATGTTGCTCATGGGGAGGGATGCCTGTGGAGGCCGGGCAGGATTGGGGGAGATTCAGGGGGTCTCTGGCAGGTGGGGTGGTGGGCCCAGGAGGCTCGTCCTGCGGGGAGAGGCGAGGCAAGGCGAGGCAGAGCGGGGGTGCCATTGTCACAGGCCAAGGTGAGGCAGGGGCCGGGGCGGCTGCTGCCTGACACCATCGGCCCCCGTACACAGAGGCCAGCAAGCGCATGGGTGCTGGGATGCATCCAGCCACGTGGGACCTCGGCCAATTAGTGGGCGGCTGGTTGAAGAGGGACAGTTGCCATCTCCGGGGCATGGCGCGCGTGCCCACAGAGAGGGCTCTGAGTGCCGCCTCTGGCATGCGTGCCATAGGTTCGCCACCACTGGTATAGGGTTTCCTGCCTGAGCAGGGGGTTGGACTAGATGACCTCCAAGACCCCTTCCGACTTTATTATTATTATTAGAAATGTAAGTTGTCACCAGCAAAGTTTTGCTGTTCCTTTAAATCCGTCCGGTCTCCGGGTCTGCCAAAGAACCGGTTGCGGTTCCCTGTTGGGTTGAAAGTGATCTGAGCGTGCCTGTTGACCAGGGCTGGGAGTTTGTGTGCACGTAAGGCACACAAGCCACACACTGGAGCGTGTGTAACACTGGCCCAGCTGGGCTTTGGGGAGGTGGCTGGAAAGGGAGGTCCAAAAAGGGAGAGGTGGAAGAGCAGAGAAGAAGCGACTCCCGGCTGAAGGGGAAGGAAATATTCAGGCCGATCAAAAGGGTCTTCACGACTGATTAAACAAATAAATAAGCAAGTAAAGAGAGCTGGGAGAGGGGAGGACAGGCCAGCTTGCAAGCTTCAGAGTGGGAGATTCTTGATACGCTGACTTGGCACTACCCTCCCCAGAGGCTGGCAAGGCCCTCCTGCAGCCTCTGGGCTCCCTTGTTGCCTTCTGCTTTCAAGCAGAACCACGGCAGGGGTGAAACAACCTGGCCATTTGGGTGTGCAAAGGAAGGGACTTTTTCACAGAAAGAAAACGCAAAGCGGCACCTCCGAGGAGGAGCTTCAGGGCAACCGAAGTTTCCGGGCGCCGGGAAGCCTCCAGCCACTTGCCTGCAGGTCAGCCTGCCTGCAACCCCTGGGGTGCCGCCATCTGCCCTGTCCAATTCCTCAAAAGCCTGTCGGTGCCCGTTACGGTCATCTCCACACACCCAGCCCTCCAAAGGCCGAGAGCAACCCGTTTTCCTTTCCGGCACCCAAGAGGAAAGCGTCAAGGAGGAGTCCCCGGTCCGCCCTCGCTCTCAGATTGCGACCCTGGGCACCTCCAGACACAAAAACAAGAAGCAGGCAACTGCAGAAGAGGGCCAGCTGCCCAGGGCATCCTTGCGGCCAGTTGTTTTCAAAAGGCAACTGGACTTCCTTTGCTTTGCTTGTGTCAATGCTGCTAAGGTGGGATGTTTTTGCTTTGACAAGAGTTAGATGATGCTGGGGGGGGGGGGGAGAGGAATGTGCATGAAAATTCAGCTAGACCAGTGTTTCTCAACCTTGACAATTTTAAGGCATGTGGACTTCAACTCCCAGAAGGGATTTAGCTATGCAGAGAGGAGGAGGAGGAGGAGGAGGAGGAGGAGGAGGAGGAGGAGGAGGAGGAGGAGAAAAATATAAGGAGGAGGAGAAGGGGGAGGAGGAGGAGAAGGGGAAAAGAAAAAAGGAGAAGGGAAAGGATGAGGAAGAGGAAGAGGAGGAGGAGGAGAGGAGGAGAAAAAAGGAGAAGCGAAAGAAGGAGGAAGAGAAGGAAGAGGAGGAGAGAAAGAGGAGGAGGAAGAGAAGGAGAAGGAGAAAAAGGAGAAGGGGAAGGAGAAGAAGAAAAGGAGAATGGGAAAGAGGAGGAAGAGGAGGAAGAGGAGAAAAAGGAGAAGGGGAAGGATGAGGAAGAGGAGGAGGAGAGAGGAGTAGGAAGAGGAGGAGGAGGAGAAAAAAGGAGAAGGGGAAGGAGGAGGTGGAGAGGAAATGAAAAAAGAAGGGGAAGGATGAGAAGAGGAGAAAAAAAGGAGAAGGGGAAGGAGGAGGAGGAGGAGAGGAAAAGAAAAAAGGGGAAGGATGAGGAAGAGGAGGAGAGGAATAGGAAGAGAAGGAGGAGGAGGAGAAAAAAGGAGGAAAGGGGAAGGAGGAGGTGAAGAGGAAAAGAAAAAAGAAGGGGAAGGAGGAGGAGGAGAAAAAAGGAGGAGAAGGAAGAGGAGGAGAGAAAGAGGAGGAGGAGGAGGAGGAGGAGGAGGAGAAAAAAGGAGGAGAAGGGGAAGGAGGAAGGAAAGGGAAAAGAAGAAAGGAGAAGGGGAAGGAGGAGGAGGAGAGGAAAAGAAAAAAGGGGAAGGATGGGGAAGAGGAGGAGAAAAAAAGGAGAAGGGAGGAGGAGGAGGAGGAGGAGGAGGAGGAGGAGGAGGAGGAAGAGGACACCTGGGGTCCGTGGTGCTCTCTGACCTTGATGGTTTTCTGGCAGACGTTTCATGACCCAACTAGGGGCCACCATCAGGGCTAGGAACGCTCCTCCACTGGGCTGAGGGCTCCTTCCCAAGATCTGGCCTGGCCTCCAGAAAAGATCTTGATGGCCAGCAGGGGCTACTTACCAAGGCGTCTATGAGGACCTCAGCTCCTTCCTCGCTTTCATGGAGGGTGTCGATATCTGTCAGCTCCTGCAGAAGATCCACCACCGCAATGGCCACATGTAGGAAAGGGTTAAGGCAAACCAAGACAACTAGCATGGCTGGCTGCCTGGCTGGGGAATTCTGGGAGTTGAGGTCCACTAGACTTAAAGTTGCCAAGGTTCGACATCCCTGCTCTAGGGTCAAGGGTCAGGAGTCCCACTGCAGGTTGGAGACAAGACTGAAGTCCATAAGTCTTAAAGCTGCCAGTGTTGGACGCCTTGGGTCAAGGGTCAAGATTTCCTGGGTCAAGGGTCAAGATTTCCGATGGAGATTGGACACAAGACCTTTGTCCCCAGGTCTTACAGTGGCCAAGGTTTAGGGCCACCCTTCCCATTTCTTAGTTGCTTGCTCTCTTGCTAGTAAGACCACACCTGGAATACTGCAACCAATTTTGGTCACCCTATCACAAAAAAGATGTTGAGAGTTTGGAAAAAATTCAAAGAGCAACTAAGATGATCCAAGGCCTGGAGACTAAAACATATGAAGAACGGCTGTGGGACTTGGCTTTGAAGAAAAGAAGAAATGGAGACATGATAACAGTATTTCAGTATCTGAGGGGCTGCTTCAAAGAAGAGGAGGGGGTCACATTATTCTCCAAAGCACCAGAGGGAAGGACGAGAAACAATGGCTGGAAACTGACCCAAGAAAGAAGCAACCTGGAATTAAGGAGAAACTTCCTGACAGTGAAGACAGTTAACCAGTGGAACACCTTGCCACCAGAAATCGTGGGCGCTCCATCACTGGAGATTTTAAAGAAAAGACTGGACATTCACCTGTCTGAGACGGTATAGGTTCTCCTGCTTGAGCAGGGGGCTGGACTAGAAGACCTCCAAGGTCTCTTCCAGCTCTATTCTATTCTATTCTATTCTATTCTATTCTATTCTATTCTATTCTATTCTATTCCATTCCATTCCACTCCATATTTTCTATTCTATTCTGTTCTATTCCATTCCATATTTTCTATTCTATTCTATTCTATTCCATTCTATATTTTCTATTCTATTCTATTCTATTCTGTAATGCTATCCTATTCTATTCCATTCCATTCTATATTTTCTATTCTATTCTATTCTATTTCTATTTCTAATTCTATTCTATACTATTCTATTCTGTAATGCTATTCCATTCCATTTCATTCTATATTTTCTATTCCATTCCATTCCATTCTATTTCTAATTCTATTCTATTCCTTGCCAAATAGCTGCCAAAGGAGAAAAACGAATGAATTAGAAGTGAGTTAGAAAGAGGACAGTTGCTTTGCAGCAGGGGTCCCCAACCCCCAGATCCGAGGACCGGTACCGGGCCGTAGCATACCAGCAATCGGTCCGCGCAAACAAGCAAAGCCCCATCCGCGGGATGCAGGCAGCACACGAAACCACACACCCTCCGGTCCGTGGAAAAACCTCTCTCCACGGAACCGGTCCCTGGTGCCCCAAAGGTTGGGGGCCTCAGCTTTAAGCCACTTCAGGCCCCCAACATCAACAACCCAGTTTGTCCTTCCTCGCCAGTGGTTCAGAAGACCTGCCGAGGACCTGTCTGACAAGCTTTGATGTCAGGACGTATCCAGGACGGCCTTGTGTGAACACGCTGCTCAGCTGAACTCACTTTCTTCCTCTTTTGATCCTCTTTCTTGCCTGTTGTGTGCAGCTTTGAACTGAGTTTTGGGAACAAAGGGAAAACGAACCGTGGTGTTTTTTTCACCCCCCCCCCTTTTCCTACTTCGAAGAGTGATTTACAGATGGAAATGGCGGGTTCAAGACTCCAGGGAGAGATGTGTCCTCGGGGAAGCCGGATGCTATATGTCAAAACTCTTAAGCATGTCCCTTAAATTGATATGCCAATGGTGAGACGTGGAAGGGTTGTTTTTTTTCTTTTTTTCTTCCTGAATAGCGAGATCGTTCGCTCACCATTTATCCTTGGTGTTTCAAACTGTAGCCCTAAGGGAGGGAACAGAATAAATTTCCTGGCAGACAGCAGGTTTCAGATCAAGAGGAAAGGCTGCTCTCCACTCAGCTTGCGAAGATAAACTAGTTCAGTGTTTCCCAAACTTGATAATTTTAAGGCATGTGGACTTCAACTCACAGAATTCCACAGCCAGCGTTGAAGTCCTCATGCCTTAAAATTGTCAAGTTTGGGAAACACTGAACTAGGACAAGGGAAGGACTGTTCATTAGAAGTCAGAAGGGGTGGCTGCTCCATCACTGGAGGTTTTTAAGAAGAGACTGGACAGTCACTTGCCTTTAGTGGTATAGGCTTTCCTGCTTGAGCGGGGGGGGGGGCTGGACTGGAACAGGGGTCCACTCTACAAGGCCTTGGTAAGGCCACACTTGGAATACTGCATCCAGTTTTGGTCACCACGATGTAAAAAAGATGCTGAGACTCTAGAAAGAGTACAGAGAAGAGCAACAAAGACGATTAGGGGACTGGAGGCTAAAACGTATAAGGAACGGTTGCTGGAATTGGGGATGTCTAGTTTAACGGAGAGAAGGACGAGGGGGGACATGATAGCAGTGTTCCAATATCTCAGGGGCTGCCCCAAAGAAGAGGGAGTCAAGCTCTTCTCCAAAGTGCCTGAAGGCAGGAAAAGAAGCAACGGATGGAAACTAATCAAGGAGAGAAACAACCTGGAACTAAGGAGAAACTTCCTGACAGTCAGAACAATTAACCAGTGGAACTACCTGCCTCCAGAAGCGGTAAATGCTCCAACCCTGGAAGTTTTTAAGAAGAGACTGGACAGCTATTTGTCTGAAATGGTGTAGGGTTTCCTGCCTGAGCAGGGGGTTGGACTAGATGACCTCCAAGGTCCCTTCCAACTTTACTATTATTATTATAACTCCAGTCTGTGGACCGGTACCGGGCTGTGGCATGCCAGCAACCGGTCCACACAAACAAGCAACGCCCCATCCGTAGGATGCAGGCAGCACACACACCCACGTACTCTCCAGTCCACGGAAGATCTTTCTCCATGGAACCGGTCCCTGGTGCCCAAAACGTTGGGGACCTCTGGAGTAGAAGACCTGCAAGGTTCCTTCCAGTTCTGTTATTCTGATGGATCTCTTGTCATCTCTTTTTCCGGTCCAGGCTTGGCTACCAACGGGCCTCTGCTCCCATTGATTGACCTAGATTGGATTCTTGGTTATCAACGCACATCCAGGCAACAGAATAACAGAGTTGGAAAGGACCTCGGAGGTCATCTAGTCCAACCCCTTGTTCAAGCAGGACAAAGGGCTGTCCAGTCTCTTCTTAAAAACCTCCAGTGTTGGAGCATTCACAGCTTCTGGAGGCAGGTTGTTCCGCTGGTTAATATGTTCTCACTGTCAAGAAGGTTCTCCTTAGTTCTACGTTGCTTCTCTCCTTGGTCAGTTTCCATCCGTTGCTTCTTGTCCGGCCTTCAGGGGCTTTGGGGGATAGCTTGACTCCCTCTTCTTTGGGGCAGATCCTGAGAGATTGGAATCCTGCTATCATGCCATCCCTAGTCCTTCTCTTCCTTAAACTAGACATGGATGCTGATGGATGGGCTCAAGTTCTCAGCCTCTGCTAATTGAAACTGTTATTGGTGCATTATCTTTCGCTTGTATCTTCGTTCACCTTCCGCAGAAGAGCCCGCTTACAGAGATTTTATCCACTGTGTGCTGTCGGGGCATTAACTTTAATCCAACAGGAGCTGCTTTGCATTCCCTTCAGGCCTTTTCCTTCTCCAAATCCCATGCAAAGCTCCCGATGGAAGACCTTCTCTGGCTGCCTCACAGCCGTCTCTCTTGCACAGCGCTCCAGAGGGAGGGAAGGGGGGTGTTTGCGCAAGAGGATTTTGGCAGAGCTTCATGTTTTGCCTCCTAATATTCTGGCAATTTCCTGCAAAGGCTCCTTCCCCCAGGACTGCAAGGCCAGCCCGGATTCCACTTTGATGCAGAAGGAGTCCAGCATTAAAAGCAGGAGGGAGCCATGAAAATCCTGACAAGCCCAACGTGACAGAGCTGGATGGGACCTTAGAGGTCTTCTAGTCTAACC